TGCATTTTTTCTACTCTTGATAAATTTTATTCATGTTCAACAAATATAGTCTCTTTGGAGGCTCAAATGATGTTGAACAGATATATTGGAAGACAAAAACAAGCCTAAAACTGTTGAAAAACAGCTCCAGAACAAGTTCAGCAGCAACATAAAAAAATTGAATTCACAATGACAACGTATACCTGTACAACATATATCCACAATCCATGAGAACACGACATTCAATTCATGACAACATTGAAAAGATAACATATATACTTGATCCATCATGTCCAGTACATCTATAAGTACATCATAATTACATCCATAAAATTCTCCAAAACCTAAATGTTTAACTAATTTACATTATAAAGTACAAAATGACGCAGTATACAATCCCATAAATCATCGCCTTCAAATTCTTTTCCATCATTCGAAGCCTTCTACCATGGTCATGAATTTCAGTGTCCATCTCTTAAAGCCTTGTCCTTACATCATTGAATTCCTCCGTCCTTACAGCTTTATGAAGTCCAGTATTGGAACGGATTGTAGAGGTAACATCCTCATCATCATCGTCTGCGAACTTGAAGTAATATATATATATATATATAGCATGCAAACAACAATGTTTGTTGTGACAGCACAGTGCTGTCACAGCACCTGCCCCGCGTCCTCTTGTCACTGGGATGTTAAGAAACATACGTGACAGCTGCATCATTTAGTCATCTTCATTTTAGGTAGTTTTGTTTTTTACATTTTTGGTAAGTTTTCATTTTTATTTATTTACTTTATTTATTAGGGTAAATTATTGTAAATCCCCTTAAATTATAACCGATTTGCATTTTGTCCATCTGAAATTCAAAATTCAACAATCAACCATATTAAAGTATTATCTTATTACACTTAACCCCTTCCATTAGGATTTTGTTAGAGATTTTAGGTAATGTGTAAAGCACATGACATGTTGATTGAATTTATAAGGCAATAATGCTCTTATCTGGTGATTTCGTTTGAACTTTGCCACTAAGATAAAGAAAACAAAGTAAAATGAGATCACTAGATAAGGGTATTATTGTCCTAAAAAATCAATCACATGTATTATTATCTAAAAAATCAATAAGTTTGTTATACTTCACACACGACTTGATTTTGTTTAAATCTCGAGAAAGATCCCCTACTATAAGGTGTCACGTGTAACAAGATAATAGTTCTAGGTAATTAATTGTTGCATTTTGAAATTCATGAGAATAAAATGTAAATGAGTTATAGTTTAATGACCCTATTAAACTAATAGAGTGTGAAAATAACGCATGAGAATAGTCTTTGACCAAGGTTTCAAGGGCAAATAAGTGGATGTTGATAAAAGCCACACCACATTGCCTCGTTGGCAGGGATGGAGTTAGTAAGGGACCAGGGGTTCGAGTGCCTCCCGACATTTTTTTTTATTTTTTAAGTCGTACTCTATCATAGATGTTGCCATCAATCTTTGGGTATTACCCTTTAGCAACTTCAGAAGTTCTGCATTAACCAACCTCCTCTGTTGGGATAGGTCATGTGAATATCCTATCCTATGAGCAATCTCCACCATCATAGTATAGTATTCTCAATGAATTATCCAAGATTTTTTGCCATCTCTGATAGTTCAGTGGGAATCCCCTCAACAGGTCAAGCCCGTTTTTTCCCAGTTTTAGTAGAGTCAGCACGGTTGGGAACATTACCTGCAGTAGACATTGAGTAATCCGTATCA